GGGGGGAAATCGGGATCGGGATTCATTGAAGTTACAATCGAGGAGAGTCGCGGAGAGAGCATGCGCGATTTCGCGTATTTATTTTCACGTTCCGCGTTCATGTCCATCCGCTCGTGTTGACTCTCCAAGGGCCCCGAGTCCCGATAATTCCGACAAACCGTGTCGTGATCCGTGATCCACGCGCGCGATCGAGGTAATCACGCGGTTGATAATGCAGACACTGCGCAAACAGGAACAGGACTCGCGCGTCATAGATTCACGCGCGATATGACTCATTAAAAAGTTCTGGCGGTTGCGGCCGCGAACGAAGAGAAGCCCGCAAAAAACCCATTCTCTTTTCGATGAAATCGTCGTAAAAGTTTGTCGCACAACGCAAGGTTTTCTCCATAATTATACAACAAACGGGTTTTTTTTACCGACGCGCTCTCTCCCATTTCCTCGTTTTATCGACATCTTCTATCTTGCGCCTTTCTTCCTATTTTAATATGATAAATATATATGAACGTTGATCGCGATGAGAATATAATTAAATGCTATAAATGATGATACGAATTTTAGAGAGATCCTTGAGCGCATTATGCCGAAATTTCGTTATGTTGCCTTAAAAATATGTTAATATAAATATTGGCAAAAATTTTCAAGCAACTTTTCTCGTACAAGAATTTTATGTTTTGAATTAAAATGATATTTTATTATAATATTTTCTCATCGTCGATCGTAAAAGGATGGTTGGAATATTTTATGACGGCCGATTAAACGTCTAGAGTCTAGACAGTTTACTGCAAGACACGGATTAATAATTAAACATTATTTTAATAACAAATGAAATGATGTCGTATCTTAGACTTGTTTAAATTATTCGATTAATTACATAAATATCTGCAGTTTTTTTTCTTTATTTTTTTACTGCAACTTGTATGTTTATATCTTCGAAGTTTGCACGAGATCATTCTGACGTAAATGATAATTAAAATGTCGGCCATTAAAAAAAATAACATACTATTATCTAGTTGTAAGAGTCATCTTTCGTATTTATATAATTTAAATTATGTAATCTCGGTGTCACTGTAATTTATGATTGACGCAAACGTTAATGTTAAACCAATCGGGTGTTTGCATTTAACGACATTAATCAGTCAGCTATTATTTAAAGATATTTGATGAAAAAATATAGATATTTATATTTTATTTTCCTAGGGCAGATCCAGAGTCAGATGAATATTTCGATGAACTGTTTAATATTTTCCTTATAAGAGAACAACCCGTTAGGTATGTTCAAACTTGCGTAAATAACTTATTTGAGATTTTTAATGCATACTAATTGTTGCGAAGTAACGCAACATCATTAAAGTACTACTAATTTTGTTTAGAGTGTTTGTGTGTGTGTGTGTGTGTGTGCGTGCGCGCGTGTGTGAATCATGATATATATGACAAATTGTTAGGAAAAAAAAAATGGTGAAGTTGACTTTACCATTTTAATTAGTTCAGATAAAATGGATTCCCGATTAATTTCTTTATAAATTAGACTTTTCTAATTTATTATGTCTGCGTATTTGTCATTTAACAAATTATTATTTAAATATACCATATTGGGAATCTACGGGCTTTTTAAAAACTTGTATGAAGTATTAACAATATGTTTATAATCGTTATATGATAAATACAAGGATAAAACATCATAGTTAATCATAATTAATAGGTTTTCGATCAAGGATGAATTTTAATTTTATTCATAGTCCGAAATATTATTTTTATCGCAGCAAATAAACGCGAATAATAAATCTGAATTGTGAAGTATTAATGTCCTCCTAAATTTAAATAAAATCCCGTTTTAACAAAACCATATTTTTATCTTTGCAGCGAAAAGCGAGAACCTACACCAGTGGAAGGAGTCGGAAACAACGGAATACAAATGGTGCAATATGCCATGTCAGAGAGAGGCACTCTGAAATCTCTGTCAGCTCAACCATCGAGTCCGAATGATTCTCTATCGCGAAGTCCAAGGTAGAAATTTACAGAGATCGAAAAATATAATTTCAACAAATTAATTAATTTTCGACGCTTAAAAAAAAACTGTTTTTACATAAATTATCGCATATTTTCCATTAATAACAAATTAAATATAAAGATTGCCATCGTGTACATCTTTTGCAACGAAATCCAAATTATACCTCTTTCAATCTCTGGAAATCTGATGGTCATAAATAATCGATGATCAATTCATGATTGATGAATATTTGTTATAAGCATTTTTTCCGCACCTCAACTTCTCGAACTTTCCTGAGAAAAGATTCATTTTTAGATAAAATGTAAGAAAAAACGTATCAGATTATCGCGTTATTGCGTAGCAGTTTCTATCTTATTGTTAGCAGGACATCATTTCCTAGGAAGAGAACATCGCGCGTACGTAACTCGCAAGTAGATTCATTAATCAAACGTACGAGTACGCGTGCTATAGTATTATATAATAGTTGTAATTATTTTCAGTAAAATGAAATAAAATAAAAAAATAAGAAAAAAAAGATAGAGAGAGAGAAAGAGAAAAGAAAATAAAATTCAACGCGATCGCATTGTGAATGCGTTACGTGGAGGTCGTATAGTGATATTCGTACAAAAAAATCGAATAAATCTCTTTTCTTATTCTTTACTAAATTATGTAAGTACGTTGCACGAAACATTAGGACTATACATATATCGCGCGAATACAAAACAGAATGTTTCGGATAATTTAAGTCATAAAAATAAATTTTTTTTTCAAACAAGACATTTAAAAAAAGCCCGATTCTCTACTATTAATATGAAGGATGTGTTAACAGATCATTCACTCGTTTTTATCTTGCCTTTTATATGTTCGTTTGCGATCCAAACGTTGCCTTGATGCATACATATGTGATTATAATAAATTTTATCTTTCAGAATCTCTGGTGAACGTTGCAATCCGTACATTCGTCCAAATCCGCCACCTTATACCGGGCCGACTAATTTGTAAGTAGAATATTTCTAAATCGCGACTTTTGCTCGTGCAATATAAATATTATAATTATGCGTTATCCGTTTATGATTCACAGTGCCAGCTTACGCGCCGATTTCTGACTATACGAGCAACCCGCGAAAACGTGGTTTTGCTAAATGAATATAGCTCGCGGGTGGCTTTCAATCAACGCGTTTCGAGGCCGAGGACTACAAACTCATTGAAACCGACTTCAAATTTGCAAGTTCAATCAGATACTAAACATGCGCGCGCCGCTTATTATTGCTAACTATAAACACGTATTTGCGTCATTTGTTTTGGCAAATTGAACTGCGTCTGGAAAATTTCTCGAAACATGTCTTTACGAGTAGACGAGTTGCAAATATACTTCATATGTATATAGAAAAGCGTTTTTTTTTTTGACAATATGCGTTATACATTGTATACATACTATTCTCGTATTGTCAAATAAACTGCATAGCATTTAATGTGATTATGTATATCTTATAATTGTAACGCAATAAGAGTTTTTGCATATATATATATATATATATATATATGTTGAAATATATTGAAGAAAATATCTATAGATGTGCTTTGGTTTTTTTTTCTCACATTAAGAATAAGTATTTAAAACCGGATTAAAAAAATTCTTTATCTTACAATTAGAGTTTATTATTTCATTAACAATGTACAAGTTTTTATCGACAATTTTTGTTTTCCCCTCTTGATCGACTAACAATAAGAAAAAAGAAAAAGCACACACTTATTTAAGAAACCTTATATTCATATATTTATTCCGAAATCAAAAATTGTTTCACAAAATTATATACTTATCTGTCAAATCGACGACTAAAAATATTTTAATGCAACATACCTTTCGATTAGCTGTAACGTTCTGCACAAGATAAATTTTCTATTGATTGTTGTATTTGGAAAAGTCGAATTGCTTGTAATGCATCTGTAACAGAAAAGAAAGTTTGGAACGAGATAATAAAAATTTAAGGATGTATAAGATATGCAACAAGAGAATAAACCTTTTCATCGTGTTTCTGATAACGCGTCTTGTAATATAAATAGGCGACTAAATCAACTTTTCGGTTTCTTATTGAGATGCTGGACGGAAATTTGTCAAAAAAATACACACTACAGAGCACACACGTGCGCGCGCACAAAAAATTTGATCTTTAAAGTGGTACGCGGTACTGGCGCGTTCGCGGCCGCGCGTTGTTTACGTACCTAACCTAGTCTAACTTAACTTCACAGGCATGGACTATGGATGCGCACGCGCCGCGCGCCCACGCTTGCCAGCTGTTCAACAGGAGCGTTCGACAAAGGCGCGTAATAAACGGGTGTTTGTGTTTTGCGTTTCGCGTTCGTGACAGCGTTTGGACCGCGAAACTGCGAAACAGCAAAAGTGCAATATCCGTCGCAAACGAGAATCGAGTGGGCGAATCTTGCATCAATCGCGAATTGTTTCGATCCATAAAAGTATGGCTGGTATCGTGCCGTTGTCTGGCAGATCCGGCAGAAAACAGTGGACGCTCCACGGTAATCATCTTCTCTTTAATCTTGCGCGATCGAGCTTCGAGCAGCTTTGAGACGATACGCCCAGATACGCCTGGTATTCGGACAAGGACACGGACTATGTTTATATCTCTGAGAAGCACACGTGACTTTTGACAAGAACGGCGCGATATACGACGCGTTCTAAAATCTGTTTTGCGAACAAATAAACAAATGAGCACTAATTTTTAAATAAGAAATGACGAAAAATTAATTCTTGACAATTAATGGGCGATATCCTTATGTTGTGATACGAAATTTAATAAATCAAACAATTGATCTTATTAGAAATGGCTTATATGTGTGTGTGTGTGTGTGTGTGTGTGTGTGTGTGTGTGTGTGCCCTAACAGGTGTGTGTGTGTGTGTGTGTGTGTGTGTGTGTGTGTGTGTGTGTGTGTGTGTGTGTGTGTGTGTGTGTGTGTGTGTGTGTGTGTGTGTGTGTGTGTGTGTGTGTGTGTGTGTGTGTGTGTGTGTGTGTGTGTGTGTGTGTGTGTGTGTGTGTGTGTGTGTGTGTGTGTGTGTGTGTGTGTGTGTGTGTGTGTGTGTGTGTGTGTGTGTGTGTGTGTGTGTGTGTGTGTGTGTGTGTGTGTGTGTGTGTGTGTGTGTGTGTGTGTGTGTGTGTGTGTGTGTGTGTGTGTGTGTGTGTGTGTGTGTGTGTGTGTGTGTGTGTGTGTGTGTGTGTGTGTGTGTGTGTGTGTGTGTGTGTGTGTGTGTGTGTGTGTGTGTGTGTGTGTGTGTGTGTGTGTGTGTGTGTGTGTGTGTGTGTGTGTGTGTGTGTGTGTCCTAACAGTATATTCAAATTAATGTTTTATTAATTAACAAGTACTGATACTGCATAATTATTACGCATCAATAAAAATGGATGCAATCTTAGTAAAATTTTGAAAATACACAATCACAATAGCTAACGTCGCTTGCAACGCAACACAACACAAAACTGTCAATTATATTATTATTATTAATGTCTCTTGTATATGTGATAAGATAATGAATTGTGATTAAATAGTTTGCTAATTGTAAATTTTATTGATAGATGGACCAAAAGGTTCTCTTAGACGATTACGTTCTCGATTGGCGGAAGATGGCTGTCCAGAATCTCAAGTGATTTTGGCTAAGCAATTATTGGAAGAACGATGCGGTAAGCTTTATAACATAGGCTCTGTATTAAAGTTTTTTCCTGTAATATTACTCCCTATCTTTGATATATATATACATTTTCTCTATAATATATACAATATTAAAATATATATTTGAAGATCTTGATGTTGATAAAGAAGAAAACGCAAAATTGGGTGTTTACTGGTTGACGAAAGCCTCGGAGCAGGGAAATCTAGAGGCAACTGACATTCTTAGAAAATGCTTAGCCACAGGTCGTGGTATCACAGAGCATAACTATTACGATGTGAAAAATTGTCTAGACATGACGCAAGATGAAAAGTTGGCTAGAAGAGCAGCGAGGGAGATGTTCATGAGGTAAAGAATAAGTAATCAAACAATAAACAATTAAAATTAGATCGTACACTATATATGTATATTGAATGAGAAATTTCTTTCTCCAACCTAAAGCTTATCAAACGGCGAGGATTTTATCACCACTGAACAACTGCAAAGACGTATGAGAAGTTTATCGTCTCCATCGACCAGTAACCATGACTACTCTCAATCGAATATTACTTCCAACAACTTATCGCAAAACAGATTAAATGACGACGATAATGATTGCTTCCCCAGAAACGGGCTTCCTGATGATTCTCCAACTTCCAAGGACGAAAATCGGACAAATGATATTCAAAGTAAGAAATTTTAAAAACTTTTACAAACATTGTGTATTCTCTACATTTATATACGTTTTGCTACATAATCATAGATTTGGCAGATCATCAAGGTGAGAAGATCACAGAGGCTGTTCTGGTCTCCGCTGCTGCGAGTTATGCACGCGGAATGCTTCCAGTAGTATCACACGCTCTATGTATGGTAGATCCTTCCGTACTGGCACTGGATACGATACCGTTGCTGCAGAGACCATTCGTCCATCCGCTCACATCACTGAAGCGTCTCTACAGTTGGCTGATCGAGACTCTGGGTCACAAAGGGACGTCGATCAGAAACATCTTCTTTACGTCGAACTTACACATTTTCTTATTACTCTTACTGTACTCTTTATTCGGTACAGAGAGCCTAATACTTTTTATACCGATAGCCTTCTACTATCTATCGTTCGTAGTCATGGTGGTGGCCACATTTCAAATGCTCCAGCGGAAACGTGAATTCAACGACTTCCGCGTGTGGTCCGGCCTGTTTCTGAGTTATTCGGGCGGAAATCTGAATCCCGAGGAGGCGGAATATCAATTTTGCCGCAACAATCTGAAACCTCACGGACACTTCTTTCTCGCGTTGCTGCTGAAC